CGTGAGCTGTACGGGCTCCTTGGGGGTCTCACAGGTGCCTGGTCCCCAAGTGCTCTGCGGTTTGTGCCAGAGGCTCGAACCCTCAGCAGGCAGAACGGTCAGAGCAAGTAACTCCGGACATCGCGTGCCGGGACTGCCGCCCTCACGGTTCCTGCCTACCAGGGCCTGCGGGGACAGGAGCAACCTGCACACCCCGGGCCGGGGGAGCCCCTCTTCCCTCCTGCCCCCCGCTGCACAGGTCCCCCAGCTTGCGAGGAGCCAGGGGTCCAGGGTCAAAGTCAGACACCCGAGCTGGGGAGGAAGAGACGTCCCCTGGGTGGGGTCCCGGGGTCTGCAGGGCAAGTGGAGGCTGCACGGCGAGATCCAGACACAGGCCAGGCCTCGGGGGACGACGACACATCGCTGGGCGTGAGTCTCTGCCCGGCCCAGGAAGCTCCACCTGAGCCCACTTAGATCAAAGCGCGGGCAGCCCAGCCCCCCAGAGAGCCTGTGGACGTTTAAAACCGCATTTACAAAGCCTTGTTCTGGGGAACAGGTGAATTGCATGAGATTCAAACTTCAAAAGGAACAAAACGACGCAGGTGAAATACATTTTCCTGCCCCCGTGCCCAGGGACTCAGCGTCGCCTACCTGGTTGTTCCTGAGGTCGTCCGTACCCGTGTGACTCCCAGAAACCGACCACGTGTGGACAGGGACGTACAATCCACATTCTTCCCCTTTATAAGGCGGCGGCAGCGCCGCGCACCACACTGCACCGGCCGTTCCTGCTCCACAGCAAACGGGCCTGAGGCCTGGGACCCCCACTGCACGATGCCGTGGCTTCTGGAATGTTCCGTGTCGTGCAACCCTTGCCACAGTTTGAGAACATTGGTCGCCTCGGGCTGTTGTCACAGCTGCGTATTCCACTGCGGGAAGAGCCAGGTTTCTGCACCCGGCTCCTTCTGACTCGGTGACGGTTTCCGGCACCCAGAAGGTGAGGTCAAGGGACCGCCATGCCTGCCTCCCTCCAGAGGGCATGTGTCCATCGCGACCCCCGCCAAAGAGTGCGCGTGGGGTGACTGCTGGGGGTCATGGCGCTCACTGTAGCCACGGCGTCCGTAACCGGCAGGTGCTCAGTAAGGAAAAATGACAGCAAGGCCACGCGCAGCGTCTCCACGTCACTGTCCCAAGGAGCGTGGGTGGCCCGAGAGGGGGCAGAGCGCCCACGTGCAGCTGGGCAGGCAGCGCCAGCTTCATGGCGGCAACATCGCGACAACATCCCTCTCTACGAGACCTGCGCTCCTGGAGAACAGCGGAAGTTGGGAAACGCCCACCCTCGTGTTCCGGAAACAGCCCCGCTCCCTCTGTGATGTGGGTGCGACTCAGGGACACCCCCCGCCCCACCCCAGGGTAGACCCAGGACAAGGCCAGACCCCTGAACCCCCTTCCTTGGCTTCACCAACGATCCCCGAACCGCTTCACCCCCACGGACCAATCCCAATAAAATGCTCGTTGACCAAACGCTGGCGCCGCTTCTCTCCTTCCCAGGCCCTGAACTTGGCCCCCTCTGCTTGCTGGCCCCGGGGACACGGCTCTGTCCACCATCCCCTCGGGGCCCCTCCACGCCATGCCCCACCGGCTCTTTCCAGCCTGTTCACTCCCCCGTAAGGGAAACGGCTCTTCCTGACCCTCAAGCCCCGGAGACCCTGAGGTCAGAGCGAACGTGCCCCCGCTGTGGTTAGGACTGAGCTCTCCTGCCTGAGTCTGGGTTTGCTTTTCATTTGACAGTTTCTTCCTGCAGAATTCTCAGCCCAACTCAAGGGACCCAGCTAAGCTTAGAAATAAAGCAGGAGCAGCTTCAACCAAGACGACAGGCCTCGGTCTCTCTGAGAACCAGGCGCTGCTGTCTCATGGGCGGCAGAAGCTTGGAGAAAACTCCCAGCAGCTCCCTGGGAGGGGCCTGCAGGCGTACCCAGGGCGCCTTCCCGCTCCCCTCGCGCCCGCCCAGGAAGACAAAGCGTTGCCCTTGGAAGGGTTGGAAAGGTCATTAGCGAGTGAAATCGGCTCCTCAGTTGTGCAACCAAGGAATGTGGTGAAATCCGTCGGGTGAGCGCGGCTCCGCGTGCAGCCCTGCGGGAGGGAGTCCGGCCCAAGCCCAGCGTGGTAGGCCTGCCCACGCCTCTGCCTCTCCCAGCTCGCCCGGAGTCGTGAGGGATTAAGGGATTCTCTGAGAAGTTCATGGGATGGCAGGGGGATTAGCCGGGCTCCTGCAGGGACGAGGGTGGCCTCCGGGCAGCCCAGGCTGCATCAGAGCTTGGGAGGGCGCCATGGGGACCGGTCCAGGCACCGGGGCCTTGGCTTTGGGTCTCGTTGTGAGGGGCAAGAGCCCTCTCCCGGGAGTGAGGCCTGTGACCACGTGCCATTCCCCAGCCAGCCTTTGCAGAGGTCAGCAAGGCAGAGGGAACCTCTGGAACCTTCCATCACCCTCTTTGACCCAGAGAGCATTTAATCTGAAATGGAACCGGCGGAGACTGGTTTTGAGAAGGATCTGTTTACCCAGGCGCCGCGTGTGTTTCAAGTGGCTGACTTTAATCGCGCAGTTGAGTTGCTACTTGCAGAATTTAGTCACCCTTTGGCTCCAAGGGAGAGAACCGGGTCTTGTTGGAACTGGACCCTGAGTCAAGAACAGGCCTGCACGGGGCCCATTTGGTGCGGCCACACTTGCCCGAGAGACAGGAATTTGGGAGAAGTTTCTGGCAAGAGGACAAAGGCTTGGACAGAGCACAATCGAGGCTTTGGGTGAGGATTTGCGTTTTCTCTGGAGACGGGACAGGTGGCCTGGACGTGCTGCACCGTGCTGCACCGGGAGGGACAGAGGCCAGGCAGGCCGGCGGGTGGAAGGGGCAGCCAGTCACACTGGGCGGGGGGCGGGGACAGGCGCCGGCCAGGTGCGCAGGTCCCCGGGTGCAGGTTTGGGACCCGCACCGCACTCTCCCCACCCTTTTGCGTCCACTGCAAACGGACTGATCCTGCCTCCCCTGGGTGCCCCTGGGCAGGTGCAGGAACCTCTGGGCGCTGTTTCTTCCCCGAGACGCGAGGACGCACATCACCTCGTCCGGCGGTGGTGGGGTCAGTTCGCTTTCTGGACCAGCGAGGTCAAGCCTCGGAGAGCTTGACCGGGGGGCCACGCGAGGTGTCCAGGGCCTCCCCAGGAACCCGGACCCAGGGGCTGCGGGGACCCTCAGGTGCTGGTGCTCTGAGGACACCTTGTGCTCCCTGCGCAGGTCACCAAGGGGCAGGGGCAGGCTGTGCGTGGCTGAATGTGGCCTTGAGCCCACGTTGGGCCTGGAGCCGCCACCTCCAGCTACTGCTCCGTCTCTGCTCCCAGCACCAGCGAGGGCCCCTCCCCGCCCTCACCATCTCTGCAGGGTTTTCTTTTTTTTTTTTTTTTTTTTGAGACAGAGTCTCACTGTGTTGCCCAGGCTAGAGTGCCGTGGCGTCATCCTAGCTCACAGCAACCTCACACTCCTGGGCTCAAGCAATCCTCCTGCCTCAGCCTCCTGAGTAGCTGGGACTACAGGCATACGCCACCATGCCCGGCTAATTTTTTCTATATATTTTTAGTTGTCTGATTAATTTCTTTCTATTTTTAGTAGAGATGGGGTCTTGCTCTTGCTCAGGCTGGTCTCGAACTCCTGAGCTCAAACAATCCGCCCGCCTCAGCCTCCCAGAGAGCTAGAATTACAGGCGTGAGCCACCATGCCCGGCCCTCTGCAGGGTTTTCTGAGCGAGATCAAGGATTTGCAAACTTCAGAGGCCAAAGAGGCGTCCTGTGCTTAAGGCACTGGAAGGGGATCCTGCCCGAGGCAGGGAGACGGGGGCCGAGGGTGGAACCGCATCGTCTCACTCGGCCCAGATGTCAGCCCCCGCCCCACCCCCCGGCTGGGACCCCAGCTCGCCTCGTCGGCCCCCAGCCCCACAGCCTGCGACACCCCACGCCTAGGCTGGTTTTGGCTGATTCTACGGCTAAGGGGCTAAGGGGTGGCTTCCTCCTGTCTGAGGTGTGACGTTCACACAGTCACTGAACCACACCGGGGTCCGCTCCCAGTACAGTGAACACAGGAGCTGCGGTGGCGGAGGCGGCTATTTGCAGGGTGCCCAGCGCGCGCTTCGGACCGACTCCGCCGTGGCTCACACGCTGGGGTTTTGAAGGCAGGGGTGCACTGCACGCAGAATTGCACGTCAAGACATGGAGGCCACACGTCGGCCTGGCCCCAAAGGACGGGACACCGGGACGGGGGTGGCACAGGTGGACACAGAGATTCTGGGGTTAGCAGAAGCTCACCCACCCCACCTGCCGCTCTGCAGGCAGCTGCCTCGTCCCTGGCACCCCCACCCTCTCAGGAAGGGATATTCTCTCCCGCACCCCCCTCAGGAGGCGCAGGATCAGGCCGCTGCTCTGGGCGCAGCAGTGGGACCCACAGCTCATTCGGCTTGCTCTGGGGACAGCCTCTCTGGTGTCAAAACCCTTTTACGTCAGCGGAGGTGGAAGGAGCTGCCCGGGCTGGGTAGGCCCGGGACAGAGTACAGAGTAGGGGTCCCGACTCTTCTCACCTCCTTCCACACCTTACCACCTGCAGGCCAGCGGGGGTCAACCCAGGACAAGGCCAGAGCCCCAGACGCCAAAGATCCCCAAACTGCTTCACCCCCAAGGATCAACTGCAAAATGCCAGGTGACCAAGTGCTGATTTGGTTTCTCTCCTTCCCGAGGCCCTGAACTTGGACCCCTCCCGAGCCTGGGCTGGCCCCAGGGAACTCGCTCTGTTCACCCTCCCGGCCCAGTCCCCTCCCACTGTGCCGCTGGCGGGCCATGCGGTGCACGAATGAATGAATGAATGAACGCTCGCCTACAGGAAGGAGTGAGGGGGGAAACCTTCCTACTCCCAGAATTTGGCGCAGAAGAACACAGAACATCAGCAGTACTTATGATTCTGATTGTTTTTCTTTAAAAACACAAAAACTCCACCAAAAACAAAACAAACCCACAAAAAAACCCCCAAACTTCCCACCTGAACCAGCCTAGTGTAACAGGTTAGCCATTAACGCAAGAGTAAAAAAAGATGCCCCAGCCACACACGTCATTTCGTCATTTCCTCGGCGGAAGGTGTCCCAGCCTGGTCGGCCGGCGTCACAGTGGATGGGCCCGGCGTGGCTGGGAGCGGAGGGGACACGGGCAGCCTGTGCCACAACAGCAGCGAGGCTGAACACTGACCACTGGGAATAAATAAACACAGCGCCAACAGCATCCTCTTAAATTAGTAAAACGTTAGACAACACAAAAGCAAAATGACTCGATGCGATGCTCGTTACGCCAGGATGTGCTTTAGAGAAAACGAAAACCCACAAACAGGACCCGGGACTGTGCCACGAAAGCGTGCGAGGAGGAGCAAACTCTTCTAGGACAGGCTCCGTACAGGTCCCACCTGCCCTCCCCAGGGGCTCCCTGAGGGCTGGTGACGGGCAGGCAGGGTCTCGGGGACGCCCCGCAAGCAGGCCTGACTCAGCGTGACAGGACACAGCCCCGAGTGGTCCCTGCCTTCTGAAGCGGGGCCTCCAGGCCGGGTTGGGGGACCCAGCACCGAGGATCACAGACTGAGCCTCCCGCCAGCCTGGCAAGAGCGGAGGTCCCAGCCCAGCCGCCGGGAGAGCCGCATGTTGGCATGTGACCTCCGGTGTCCCGGCCCCAGCGTGAAAGGGACCCCGGGAGCAGGGTCCAGCCCTGCAGGGCGACCCGCAGCGATTCCACCACACCCGACAGACGCGGCCTGGAAGGGGGTCCTGCACCCATCCGCGGGAGCGGGTGAGCATGTCCCTATGGAGAAGCCACTGTGGTCTGGGCCTTTGTTCAGGATGGTGTCTTGGGTGGGACCCGGGCCTGTCTGAGCACCTCCCGGCCGGCAGCGTGCGCTGCGGTCGACGCCAGGATGGGCATGGCGGCCGTGTCGCCAAACTCCTTTCTCTGCTGGGGCTGGCGGGGAGGGACCTACCGCAGGTCTTTAAGGCAAAGAGACGTAAGCCCACAGGGTTAGTTGTCACAAACGTCGCTACATTTACAACAATAAAGACAAGAAAGCCAAGCACACGCCCGGGGCCAGCCGTCTGCATCAGTGCAGGGCCGAGGGCAGGACGGCAGGGCCGGGTCTCAGTAGTTCTGTCTGCTCGGGCGACCCGGTCGCTCCCAGGCACGTCGCGCTGCGGGCGCTGTCAGGGGAAGGCCGTCTCCTCCCACTGCACCAGCCCTATTTCTTGAAAAAATAATCATCTTGGTGGCATTGGCCCAAAATTTAAGTTAAAAAAAATACAAATAAACCAAGGCGGGAAGGGAGAGGGGCCCAGCACGACGGCCCGTCGTCGGGGGACACTGGCCGCTGCGTAGTTCACAGCTCACGCTCGTTCCGGGAGGCAGCGAGGAGAGCGCAGTCCGGGACCAGATTCGTACCAGTTCTCACTTGGCTGCCCGCCTGCGGGGGGACAGCGAGGGGCCACGGCGCCCGGCTGAGCCGTGCGGACGACGGGGAACTGGAGTTGCTTTCTGAGGGGTGAGTTGCTGTGAAATAATCTCTGTGCATTTTCTTTCCGGCAGCTTCTCGGCTCTGCTTATGTCTCCTGCGGGACGACCTGCATGAGCTTCTGGCAAAGGACAGTCACGGAAACTGCCGGGAGAGAGGAGAGGAGAGTCGGCCTGGGCGCCGGGCGGGCCGTCCCCTCCTTGCAAGTGAGGCGGCCCCGCTCACACCACGCCCAGCATCCCCGCACCCCCCCAAGTTGCAAGAGAACCCAGAAACCTCCTGGTTTGTGCACATGGACACTGGGTACCCGGGAGCCGCCCCGCTGGCAGCAGGCTCTGCAGCTCACAGCCAGGTGCAGAGAAATGCTGCGTCCCACTGGGGCCGAGGATCGCGGCCAAGGGCGGGTGCCGGCTCCACCCCTCAGCTGTTCAGAACCCTGTGGCCGTGGCGGGCCAGGCCGTGGAGCACCCACACCCCCAGCACCTGGGTGATGATGGGCCCTTCCCTTGGGGCCACACCGGGCCACCACCTGAGCTTAGGACTCGGCAGGCAGTGAGCACACCTGTCACCCACGACAACCGTGCTGCCCACAGACCGGGCGGGGGGAGCCGAGCGGAACCAGCCGCTGTCAGCCAGGGCGTCAGACACGTCACACTTTGGACTTTCTACAAAGAAATCGTCCCGGGGAGGAAATCTGACAGTAACAGGAATCCTGCAGCCGGGCTGGAGGCGGACTCTGCTACCTGGATGACGAGCAGCGTCCCAGTCACCAGCAGGGCCGGGATCTGGGGCGGGGCATCTCCTGGTCATCCTAGGAATTCTGCCTATTCATTCGTTTTCTGAGACACGGTCTCGCTCTGTTGCCCCGGCTAGAGTGCAGTGGTGTCAGCCTAGCTCACTGCAGCCTCGAACCCCTAGGCTCAACTGATCCTCCTGCCTCAGCCTCCCCAGTAGCTGGGACTGCAGGCCTGAGCCAGCAAGTCTGGCTAATTTTTTATTTTTGTAGAGACGGAGTCTCACTATGTTGCCCAGGCTGGTCTCAAGCGATCCTCCTGCCTTGGCCTCACAATGTGCTGGGATTACAAGCCTGAGCCACCGTGCCTGGCCTCACCCTGGGAATTTTAAAAGCCACGCAGCGGTGGTGGTCACGGTCTGGGCCCGTAGGCACCTATGCCTTTTTCTAGGAGCCCGGCCACAGTTCCAGTGGGTGAGAACAGGGGACTGGACTTCGCGTGCAAACCAGCCCTGGGGCTGCCGCTGCACAGGGCGCCACAGAAGGTGGGTTCCAGTACTTGGCAAAAGCAGGCAGGTTTTCCAAATCCCTTGTGCTGAGAGATTAGCTGGTCGGAGCCGAGTGTCTTATCCCTGGAACACGTGGGCCCACGTCACTGCCAGACACACCGCAGTGACCGAACCCTCTGCGGCGCGGTGCGATCCCGCACCCAGCACGACACGCTCGGCCCTGCGGGTGGGTCGGCCGGGGTTGCTGCCCGGGCCCCAGCCCTGGGTGGGGGAGACACTCACAGATGCCCTGCAGGAGCCACTTGGGCTTGTTTTTCCACCAGACCCCGATGAAGTAGACGGGCAGCCCGCTGAGGATGATGATGAAGCCGATGCCACACTCCACGGGGGTCTTCCAGAAGGAGACGGCAATCAGGAACAGGCAGGCCAGGGTGAAGAACACGGGCAGGGCCAGGTTCACCTGCACACGCGCAGACGCCATGCAGGGGCCGCCAGGGACCCGGGCGGGGGGGCTGCCTCCTCTCCGCACCTCCCACCCGAGGTCCTCGCGGCCAGGGGGGCACAAGCTGGCCCCCGTGAGGGTGGGATGCCCTTCCTGGCCAACCCCACCACGCCTGCTCTCGGGGCTGTAGTCTGGGGCTCGCAGACCGTGTTTTAAAGCACATGCAGCCCAGGCGCCAGGCTTCAAGAGCACGCAGGGAGCAACGTGGTCCTGGGCACCGCACCGCCCTGTTCCCTCCCGGCCCTTTCCTCGGTCCTGGGCCAGCGGCCACTGCGGGGCTCTGCTCTCTCACTCCCCGACGCGGGAGTCAGGGGCCAAGGCTGCGGGGCTTACAAGGCCCCCAGCAGGACTGTGGCCTTCGTCGGGCGGGCCCTCCTCAGAGAAACCAGCTCACTGACAGCGGCTGCCCCGGGGCAGAGCCGCCGAGAGAGGGGAGAGCCCACCTTGGCCTGGCCTCGATCTGCACCCAGTGCTCCCCAAACCCCCGCTTCACTGAGGGCAAGGCCGGCCTGCCCCGGCCCCACGCGCCCTGCCCAGCACGGGAACGCGCCTGCCTCTCCACCGCCCCCTCCGCCCTCCCAGCGCTGCGCCAGGCAGGCCCCGTCCCCTCCTGTGTTTGCCCTCCCTCCCCTCACTAGACGGGCAGGACCGTGTTCGGGCCTGTCATCCTTGGATGACCTCGGTGCCCGGAGCTACACTTGGCACTTGGCAGGCCCACGGTCAACAGTCGCCAGCTGGACTGACCCCGCCGTGCCCACGCGGAGCACGTCACACGCTTGTGCTCGGGGCAGGGCAGCCCAGGCCCTGGTTTGCCGGGGGAGGCGCAGGCGGGGGCAGGACCGAGAGGCCGTGCCGGGTTGCCAGCTCCCGACCCAGGGCCCCTCCGACCCTGCTGTCCCCGCGCGGGCGCAGCCTCACCTTGATGGGCCGCTCCAGCTCTGGCTTCCGGTAGCGCAGCCACATCATGCCGATGATGGCCAGGGCCACGCACAGCCAGTTGAAGAAGCTGAAGAAGTTGATGACGGAGAAGATGTCTTTGGAGAAGGCGTAGAGCAGCGTCATGACGCACTAGAAGAGACAGGCCTGGCTGAGCCCCGGGAGCCCGCGGCTGCTCTGCGGGACGATGGCGGCCACCCCGACCCCGGGGACCGTCCGGCTGGCCGCTCTCGCCTGCCTGGTTTCAAACCGCTCTGGGCCGCACGCCGGGTCCGGACGGCAGAGGGAGGTGCGATGGGGAAACGGCAGCGTCTGGGTTTAAGGAGGGGGGGGGGGCCCCGCTGCGTGGACGGCAAACAAACCTGAACCCCACGCACCGCAGTGCCGCGTGTGAGGGCACAGCCGGGGCTGACCAGACACCCGCCAGTGGGGACACTGTCACAAACCTCGGCACACAGGACTACGCGGCACCACAGAGCCGCTTCCAAACCGAGACCGAACTGTGTGGCAGTTTTAGAACACACCAGAACTCACCGCCACACCCCCTTCCAACCCTTGACCGAGGCTGCACTCGCTGACTCGCTGCTAACAGGGGACGGCCGGGGTGGAGCGCGACTTCTGAGGCCCACGGCAAACGCTGTGGCCGTCCCCACGGTGTCAGGGGAAAGGAGCCGCCATGCCACGAGGACACTCCAGCAGCCCCGTGGCAGGACCCACGTGCAGCCATGACACGGAGCCCCCTGCTGGGCCCAGTCAGCCCAGGTTGAGCCTCAGAGGAGCCTGCGGCCCGGTCGCCACCTCGATGAAACCTCCCGCTAGAACCGCGCCAGGAGCCCCGGCCGAGCTGCCCCAGTTCCCGACTCACGGAAACTGTGGGAGGATGAACGCTTTCGTCTTAAACCACTACGTTTTGGGGTGACTGTGACGCGGCAACAGGGAGCTAGTGTCACACGTACTGGCAGGGACAGATGTGACGTCAGCCAGAGAAAGAGCGTGTGACGTCACTGCATTAAACAGACACCGCGAGCCCCACCTGAAGCCCGAGGGGCGCACAGCAGACGAGGCGGCTCCTGGGGGAGTTCTTGCTTCACAGCATTTCTGGACTATTCTAATTGTTTGTTACGACTACGTATTATTTTAAGAATTAAAAACCAAAGACCTCTCCGGCGCACTGTGGTGTCCGCGGGGCACGTGGTGCAGTGCACGACGCCAGACACCGGGCCACACTCCTGCGGGCTCATCTGCGTCTCTGGCACCGTCACTCTAGGCGGGTGGGCGCCTCCGCGCCGCTGCCCAGGCCACGCTCCAGGCGGAGCTGCTGGGGGCGCGGTGTGCAGACTAACGCCGCGCTTCCCTCTGGGGAGCCCCCGCGGACAGTCCCTGCGCCCAGGGCGGGGGCCGAGCCGCACTTACCGTGAACACGAGGGACGGCACGGGCGTCAGGAGGTGCGGGTGGATCATGGACAGGACGGAGGGCAGGTGGCCCTCCCTGGACCCCACGAAGAACAGCCTGCGGGCAGAGGGAGTGGGTGGTCAGCCCGGCCCACACGGCAGGTGCTGTATCGTGGCACTCAGGCAGGGCGGGCGGCAGGGCCCGATCCCGACTCGGCAGGCAATGAGGCGTCTTGGGAGCCACTGCTAGCTCCAGCCCAGGTGGCCGTGAGACCAGGACGCCGAGCCCTGAGTCTCCTCTGGGCGGGGAGGGGGGCGGGCGAGCGTGAAGCTCAGGCTTCCTTTATTGCTGCATGACGAGAACTTTTTAACCATATATAACTGGTCATCACAGACACAAGCTTTCCAAGCACACGCTGGCACGCGGCGTGCGGAGGCGGCCCGCGCCCTGGGCACGCTCACCTGGAGGACGTGAACAGAGACCCGTTGACTGAGCCGAAGCAGGACAAGCCCACGAAGACGGGGATGATCCAGGACATGACCCCCAGGTGGTAGTTCCCGAAGTCCTGCACAGACACAGCCAGTGGGCCCGAGGCAGGGCCAGACGGGGACCCCACTTCTGGCCACTTAAGCAGCTCAGCCCGTGACCTCCCTACCTGCAGCGCAGTCAGGCTCACGCTGACACTGGGCTCTTCCCCACCCACCTGGAGGCTGCTACTTGTGCAGTGGTCTTGGCAGCTGGGCTACAGCTTTGGGGGGCACGTCCCAGGGACGGGGCGTCGCAGCAGGCTTTGCCGGCCCTGATCTGATCTCCCTCCTCTGGGACACCTGACAGGAACCGCTGCCTTTGCTATGCCCATTGCGCCCACCTCCGCAGGTGGGGGTCCTGCTGTCCTCACTTTGGTTCTCCACTGGGTCTAGCATGGTGCTTTGCAAGCAGCGGGCTCTTAGCCAACGTTGTCAAACATGAAACCGGCCGCAGCGCCAACTCCCTGGCTCTGACCTGACCTGGGAGCTGTGCCTCCTGAAGCCACGGCCCTGACCTCCCCCACCCTGCCCGCCGGCCCAGCTGGCGGGAGCAGTTCCTCCTAACTCACATGGCCGTCATGGACTCCAGCCCTTCCGCACTCAGATTTAAAAATGACTGGAGCCGGGGACCACCCGGACTTGCTGACTTGTCATTGGCGCAGCCTGCGGCCGGGCACCGGGGTTTCTAAAGCTCCCCCGTGACTCTATAACCAGTGGAGGTGGAGGACACCCCACGCTTCCGGCAGCTTGGCAAAGCCGCCGCGGTCCCCTCCAGCAGAGCCCGATGGCAGCGGCCTGCGTCTTACCACGGCCACGGCCTCCGACGTCAGCATCTGCTCGGTGGACAGCGTGGTGAAGTAGGCCAGGTTCGTCAGCACGTACACCAGCGTCACGATGGGCAGGGAGATGATGATGGCCAGAGGAAGGTTCCTGGGGGGTGGGGGGGAAGCACAGGGAGATGCCGCCGGCCGAGGCCACACCGGGGCCAGGCGCCCTGCAGGGCCACAGCGGCTCCCGACTGCGCAGGCTCCGGGGAGAGCCGCTAACATCAGGGAAGCCACCAGCACCGGCAGGGCTGCTCCGGGAGCTGTGCCACCCAGGTGGCGACTCGCCGCTGGCCTTAGCTTCCCTCCTTGAGAAACGGGGACTCCTCTGGGTGACCCGAGGGCTCAGGAGGGCCAAGGCCGCCGGTCGGAGCCCCCACAGCTCGGCCACAGCCGCACAGCCGGGGCCAGGCCGGAGAGCAGGGTCCTCCCCAGACACCCCAGCCTGAAGACCTCGAACACTCGGACACACGCTGTCCCAGGAGGGGGTGCAGGCCCACCCTTGCGTGCTGGGAGCAGCTGATGGTGGCACGGGGGCCTTGGGGATACCTGCCACCCACCCTCAGGGAAGCCTTCTTCAAGGTCAAGGTCGCACGGCCAGACAGAAGACAGCTGCCCGTGTCATGCTGACCCTGCCGCCCCCACATCTCGGCTCTACTGAGAGGCCAGGCTGAGCCCACCACCAGGTCTGGGCGGGACGTGGCCCCTTCACTGTCAGGTCAGAATAACGCAGAGATGCCTCCACCTGCCAGTGCACGCACCTGTAGGGGTTGATCATCTCCTCTGTGACAAAATTCAAGTAGTTCCTAGAATTCAGAGAACAGAGTTTAATTACATGTTCCTCACTAGAACACAGAAAATCACTAGGAAAAGAATACAGAATCCCACAGGGAAACCCCTCCTGGCTGCACTGGGTAGGGGGAGGAGACCCCTCTGCATGTCCCAAGGACCCTCCCTGTCGGTCTCCTGGGATGGTGACTGTCCCTGTCCCCAGCGGGGGCCGCCCGCCCCACTCCGCTCTGCCCTCCACGGGCACAGAAGGGCCCAGTCCCAGAGCGCTGCTTCCTGTGCAGGTCGAACATCCCTGGCAGTGCCGAGGGGGTGTCTGGTTTCCAGACGCCCGGGGCCAGAAGTCACGGGGGAGACTCCAAGGGTGGCCCTCACAGATGGTCTGCGCAGCCAGACTCCAGCAGACCTAGACACACCAGTTCAGCGCCTGCCGCCCCTGCTCCAGGGCGCCCCGTCCACCCTCACCTGCCTTCCAGCACCTTCCCTGCCCACGTGCCACACGGCAGCAATGCTCATGTCCCTGTCCAGCTGGCCTGGGAGCAGGGCCAGGCTGGGACGCGGGGGAGGCCCAGCCACGTCCCTCCTGCTGAGTGAGGCTCCCGTGTACGGCCGGGATGCAGGCTGGGAAACGCGCCCACGGCTGCCGGGCGTCCTTTCCCTGCTTCCTGGGAGGCGTGTGGCCCCGAGTGGCTCCCCAAGAAGGTCTCCTGCCACCCTATGCCATGCGCTCCCTGCGACTGCCCTGGATGGCTAGATTCTGGATGCTTCGGGGCCCGTGTGTCCCCAGGCCAAAGGACGCAGACGTTCCAGAACGTACCACCCTCCGTAGGCAAAGAGGCCACTGTATAACGCCAACACGATGTTCCCCACGTCCAGGTTGGTGCCTTCAAATGAGAACTTGGGGTCCAGATTGGACGCTTCCCCTGGAAAAACCACACAGAAAGGAATGCGGGGTTAGAGAGTGGAGCAAATTCTGGAATGTTCCTAGAGCAAAATACCATCACACGCAAAAACGTCGGGGTGAAGGCTTTTCATTACGACAACTGAATGCACCGAGGAGCCATCCAATGTGGGAGGAACGTGTCCCCTGAGAGGGGCAGGCAGCTGCGCGGGCCCCGCCCACCACCGAGGACAGAGGTCTACAGAGGCCTCGGCTGTGTCCCCGCCCCTCTGAGGACCCGGACACCGGACCCGGGGCCCACCCTGATCCAGGATGACCTTTTCCCAAATAAGGTCGTTCACATCCACGGGTTGCGGATGGGGCCACCGTTCCGCCAGGACACAGACACCTGTCACGCGGCTGCCACGGCAGTGGCCAGCCCTCCCCGAGGCTCACGTACAGCGCCTGTCCGCCGGCCCGTGCGCTTGAGCCCAGGAAGGACCGGTGGCTTCACAGGGAGCCAGCCCAACAGCCAAGTGCTGCGGGCCACTTGCCCTGTGGGCTTTTAGTCCCTGGCTCCGGGTCACCAGAAGTGACCACAGCACACACACCCGTCTCACAGACGACGCAGCCCAGGAAGCAGGACTTGGAAATAAGAGCAAGACACCAACGGAAACGCAGGAGCCGGGCCGCCTCCCACCCCCGCCCCAGGTACACAAGCTGAGGTCCCGGTCAGGCCGCGAAGTGCTAGCTAACCTGGGGACCGTCTCTAACGGGGTCCTTGCGGTGGTGGGCGAGGGTCTGCGCCCCACCCTGCCACGGGGAGTCTCAGGCCGACTCCCACTGGGCACAGGCCAGGACGTCGGGGACCCAGCGAGGGTCTGCGCCGCGGCCGCTCTGGAACGCGGTGGGTGACGGAATGAGACAGTCGCGGATGGGACCCGTGGAGGGAGGGTCCCGTAAGTCCTTGCACTCCCCAAAGCAAGCCCGCACGTCAGACATGGCACAGGGTTTCCCACGGCAAACGCCACAGCGGGTCCCTTCAAGACAGGGGCACCGCTGTTTTGGGTCTGTGTCCTCACGTGTTCTGGGCGTGGTGGCCTCTGAGCGCCAGCCCTGAGCACGTGTGCGGGTTCCCTGAGGCCCATGGCACCCCACCTGCCTGAGAGGCCCCGGTTTCCTGAAGAGGAGAGGGACAGGCTCGCAGTCCCGGTCCCAGGGTGGCCAGAGGCTGCAGTGTTCACCAAGCCGCCGCCACCTGACTCCCAGCCTGCAACGCAAACGCCTCCCCTCCCGCCCCTCCCTCCAGCCCCAGCGCAGGGCAGAGCCTGGGCAGGACCCTCAAGCCCTCCACGCCCGAGGCTCCTGCTGTTCGTGCGCGAGACACGTCTTCCTCAGAGGACCGGGGGTCGCCACGAAGGCTAAGGCACAAGCGGATGCCGAGAGCACAGCAGGTCACAGACGCCACGGCAAGCCTGGGACCAGGCAGAGCCAGCCCATCAGCCGGATCCCCTCGAGAACTGGGGTAACCGGGGTGGGAGCGTTCACGGCCCTGGGGAGATGATGTCACGGAGAACCAGCCCTAGGCCTGCGTCACACGGACACAGCCATGGGAACCATCCACGGGGCGGGGGGGGGACACTCCCACCCTGGGCCAAAGCTTCCCTCGAGGACAGAGGCCTGGGAGGTGCCCACATGGCTAATGCGCCCGGGAACAGGACCAAGAGCCTGACGTCTTCCCACCCGGCCCACACAGCAGCCCTCTGGCTTCTGACTCAGAGGACAAAGGCTCCCCACGGCCACTGTGTCCCCCGAGGCCTCGCATGGCCCTCCGTGCGTCCGGACAGAAAGGCCTGGCCGAGTGCTCGCCAGGCCCTCTCCTGGGCCCAGGCCTGGGAAAAGCCCACGATGTGGTGACGGCAGTGGACTCTGAGCCAGCCCTGGGGGGCTGACAGGCCTCGGCGTGCCCCAGCCACAGACACTCCTCCAGGGATGGGATCAGGACTTTCCAAGGGAAAGAAGTCACTCCCCACACCAGCGACCACCTGCCGAGCCGGAGCCCCTGCCCTCCACACAACTTCCACCCTGGGGTTCCACGCCAGCACTGCGGAGCGTGTCCTCCTCCGGGAACGTGTCTTGGCAGATGCGATGCAGCCAAGGATGCTGGCTGAGGTCACGCTGGATCGGAGCGGGCCCCGAGTCCGGTGACAAGTGCCCGTGCAGGACACAGGCAAGGCAGACAGAGGGCAGCCGTGGGACACCGCAGGCAGAGACTGGAGGGCTGCGCCACAAGTCACAGAGCTTGGAGCCCGGGGCTGGAGGAGGCAGGCAGCACCGTGAGTCCTGGCAGCCATGGGGTCACACGAGCAGAGACCACGCCTGCCTCAGCCACCGGGGAGAGCGTCCTGGCTCCACACCGCGTGTCTCAGTCGGCAGACAGAGCAGCTGCAGCTGCGGACCCGCTGCTCAGTCAGCGGCCAAGGGGGCAGCTCCCGTCCGCAAGGTGGGCTGACTGTGGCCGGTGCTGGGTCAGTGCTCGGGACCACCACCCGCTGTGGGCTCAGGTGGAAGGCACAGCGACCGCCACGCTGGCTCCCCTGAGAGCGCCGGCTCCCCCTCTCCCGGGGCTCCCACCCCGGCTCTGGTGCTGTGTCCCGAAACCCGCTGCCGTCTGGCGGTCTGATGTCTGGGAACCGTGATGGGGCAGGAATCTCGGTTTTGGGCGACTGGCTGAGCCCAGACAGCGCTGCCCCTTCCCCACGGCCAGTGTGGCGTCCTTCAGACTCCTGGAAGAGCGGCCAGGTTAACCTCGAATCTCAAATCTGGGTTGGAAAGGGCCCCTTCCCAACTCCACAACCCCACAGGCTGTGAAGACCCCAGGAAGTGACCCCAGCACAGGGCTCACGGTGCCACCCTCCACCCCACTGCACCTGCCGCCACTCTCGCCGCCACGGCCGCCGTCCACGAGTCTGGCCGTGGCCTCGGGTGCTGAGCGCGGCCGTGTGGAAAGGACCCGCTTCCTGTCCCTGGATCCCATCCCAGAGCACGGCACGACCGAAGTGTGCGATCTCCAATCTGTTCCTCCGGAGGCTGAATCAGCGCAGAACCGTGGCAGCCCGGTGAGTAACTGCCGAGAAACGACTCGCACGACAACAGCGGCCCTGCCTCACCCACGAGTCCTTCCAGGTGGGGAGGAGGCTCGCTCCGGCCCGAAACAAGTCCGCAGGCTCTGTGGACGCTGGGCAGGGAGCACTCCGCCCGCGGGGCAGCCCCGGCCGCCCTCCTCCGGGCACGGGTCATCTGCAGCAATGGCCGAATTCAAGCCCGGCCTGAGTCCAGGGGTGCACAGGGGCCCCTGCGCAGGGCGTCCTGTCGTCCTGGTGTCGCCCCGAGCCTGGGTGAGACACTCACTCTCAGACTGTTCCCCGGAAACCCCCATCAAGGGGAGGCCGGCCTGGGAGCTCCCATGGAAGGCTTAATTTGGCAGCTCGAGGGCGAGTTGTGGCTGGTCTCTCTCCCGGATAAACACGCCCCAGACTCACGTGGGAGTCGCTCTGAGCCTCTGAGGCTCGCCCTCTCCCCGCAGAGCTGCCCTGAAGCTCTGGGCCTGCTGTGCCCTGAACCACGTTCCCCCAAATCCAGATGTCCCTGCCGTAAGCCCCTGTGTGGCTGTGTTTGGACACGGGGCAATGGAGGATAAGTGAGGCTGGAGAGTGGGTCCCGACCCGGCAGGATCAGCGTCCCTGTGAGAGAGACCCAGAGGGCCCCCCCTCCCCGCGTGAGCACCAGGAAGCCGACCCTCCCCGGAGACCAGCCCTGCCGGCACCCTTGGCTGGGACTGGTAGCCCTGGAGCTGTGTGGCCACAAGGGCCTGCTGTCCAAGCCCCCAGTCTGCGTGTCCTCATGCCGTGTCCATGGCCCTGTGGGTGCTGCGGCTGTTGCCACCATTTTACAGATGGAGAAACTGAGGCTCAGAGAAGCTCAGGGACCTGCCCAAGAAGATGTCCTTGCGACCTAGACCCTCCCAGGACAAATGTGTCCTCCCAGGCCTGTGTCTGGGCTATGAGCCCAGCTACCCAGGAGCGTCCTGCCAGCCTCGCCCCGTGCCTCTGACGCCCCACACGAACCTCCCGTGAGCAGATAGCTGCCCAGCCCTGCAGCGCCGTCTCCCCAAATGCACGTCGAGGGTGGAGGTGGGGGCCTGTCCCCGACACTGTGCCCCTGGTCACAGGCCCTGTGGAGTCAGGCTGTGGGACCTGGGGCGGGCCACCCCCTTCTCTGAGCCCCAGGGGCCCTATAACCTGAGAACCGAATGAAAACAATCATCTGGAAAACTCTAAGGTGAAGTGCAGATCTGTCTCCTGCCCCGTCCTGTGGTGCCTCGTCATTTACCGCCTGCGGCACAGGACAAGCAGGAAGGGCTCTGCTGGCGGCTGCAGACCACGCCCAGGGCCGGCCGCTCACAGGCATCTTCCCGCCAACGGTCTCTGGGCAGTGAAGGGCCCAGACAAGGCCCACGTAAACCAGGACTTTCTTTCCTTTTTGTGGACAGAGCAAAC